CAGCTATTTAGGAAAACCACAGAAAAGTAAAACCATATTAAAAGCACACAAAAGCAATAACGCAGTAAACATGTTGCAAAAAAATTAAAAAACAAACGAACTTCTCATTTTAAGTTTTCTCACTTTTCAACATACGGGCCCTGCACAACTTGGAAAAGCCAGATAGTGCTTAGGAACGAAAAACACTATACGGTGCCAAGGAAATACAAAACACGGGAGGCTGATCCACACTTCACCTCGTATTCATCATCATCACCTATTTCAACCGTATGTGCTACTGTATCGCATACAAGTTAACAAGTACCTTTATGCAAAACAAGTATCCAACGAACCAAAAAATTAGCATATCCTCATCTGATCCTCAGAATAATCTGGCAAGCCCTCTGTCCAATATAAGCCACAACTGTTTTTCAACAGAACTGGAAAACAATTACGTAACATACGAGGGAAGCAATCGAAAAACTTATGTACGACTGGACAAGAACATGAATGTCCCCGTAGCCATCATCTAATCAGCTGATTACTACAGGTAAGTTAAACAGAAATTTAAAACGGTCTGACAGCAAAATTTCTACAGGAAGAATCTTTACAAAAATCAGTATTCATCAACAGTCTGCATCAAATATGAAGAAACATGTTTGTCAATTGAGTAACGGTCGCCCTTTGTAGTTCAATTTTATCACAGTTAGAACATGGAAAAGTGATTTGCAGGTAATGTTGTTATAATGCTTCTATCGCATTTACGGAAAAATTCTAAGGTTTACGACAAAACAATAAGAGTCACTGCAAAAGAAAACAGCGCTATCAGCAAATATCAGCTTTTAACTTAAATAATGCGCACAGTATTTGCATGTAAATATTAGTTTTCGTTTTGATTGATTTTTACTTTATGTGAACAGTGTGAAAATTTCATGCACGACAATAGCATGTCCCAATAAAGCAGATGAAAAACGTACTTCTGCTTGCTGAACGCAGCATACTAAAAAACCACGTCATGAAACCGATTCAGATAGCATCGTTCACAGGGAAAGTAAATAATAGTAAAAAAAGACTGTGGGAATAGTCACGATGGCGCAGACAATAAGCAAAATCAACCAGCAAGAAAGACGCTTTAAAAATTAACCGATCATAAAATGTCCTTTAAAGTAAGCAATTGTGAATAAATTTATGCCATCTATATTTACATTTCCATTACAAACTCATTACTCTTGGTAGATTTCTTTAAACATGAAATGTTCCAAAGATGTTGCAAGTAAAATTGCACCGCTCCAGAGCCAAGACAGAGCTAGTCATCCAGAAAATGGAAGGAAAACTATTAAAAGTTTGAGCCTTTACACAGATGGCTTGCTACCTCGTGATGAAAAATCACTGCTAATCTTGCACCGGATATAACACTGGTTGCATAGTTCTCGAATTCAAACTATTTAAATGGTAATGGAAAAGGCGTTTGAACAAACTGACATTTATAAACTTTCGTATAGAAAATACAGTGAATAAATCTTCTAAAAACAACTTTATACAGCATTACTGCCTTGAAAGGTATTGCGGGCACTAAAGTTTTTGAATAACAACTTTACC